CATTGGAGGAAACAGTACACCAGTTTTTGGGGTTGTGGCCGCTTCCGTGCTTGCCGTTGCCAGTGGCGCCGCCGCCGCTCAGCATCGATAAACTACCCGCATCCGTTTTTGTCGCTGGTCGACACGATCCCCCTCCCAGGTGAGGATAGATGCCGTTTCCGTCGGGTTCCGTGGCGCCTTCAGTCAACGCCTATAGTATGGACATGCGCTTTTACTACGAGGGTACCCTTGTGTCCTTGCCTCTGCTGCCAGTCCTTGTCGCTTCCACTGGCCAACCTCTCATGTTACCCTTGGGCTGGGCGCCGTCCCTCGGCTGCGCGGCGGGGCGCTCTTCTAGGGGGCAGTTTTACGGACGCGGACTACAAGGGTACCCTTGGCCGTCGTTCGGCGCGTCGCTCTCGCAGTCGCACGTTGTTCAATTTGCGGGCGGGCGTGGTCCTAAGAACGTTGGCCAAGCGGGTTCCCTTGGCCGTCCTTGGGTGCGCCGCGGCTGGCCTCGGTCGTTCTCTTCCTTTGCGAGCGGACGTTGCATCGAGGACTTGGGTCACCTGTGTTATGCGCGCTACACCGCTACACAGGAGAAGCGTATGTTTATGGAGCGATTGCACCAACTCATGGTGAGGCTGGAATGCAAGTTCGCAGAATTGTTTTTGTCAGCCAGTTTTCCGGTGACCTACCCGCTGTTGGGTCACCTGTGCGTTGCGCGGTGCACAGGGGAAGCGTATGGAGCACAATTGCACACATTTATGCTGAAGCCCAGCATGCAAGTGACACAATTGGGATTTCTTGAAGAGTGTTCGGGTGGCCCACCGGCTGGTGGGTCACCTGCGCTTTGCGCGCTACACAGGGGAAACGTATGGAGCATGATTACACCAACTCATGTTGAGGCCCAGAATGCAAGTGAAATATTTGTTTTTCTCAACCAGTTTTCGGGTGACCCACCTGCTGTTGGGTCACCTCTGCGTTGCGCGCTACACGGGGCAAGCATGTGGACCGCGATTGCACCAAGTCATGTTGAGGCCCAAAACGGAAGTGCAACAGTGGGTTTTTCTCAACCACTTTTTGGGTGGCCCACCCGCTGGCGGGTCTCATGTGCGTTGCGCGCCACACAGGGGAAGCTTACGGAACGTGATCGCACCAATTCATGTTGAGGGCCAGATGCAAGTGAAACAACATGTTTTTTTCTCAGCCATGTTTCGGGTGACCCACCCGCTGCTGGGTCACCTGTGCGTTGCGCGCTGCACAGGGGAAGCGTATGGAACACGATTGCACCAACTCATGTTGAAGCCCAGCATGCAAGTGACACAATGTTTTCCTCAACCAGTTTTCGGGCGGCCCACCCGCTGGTGGGTCTCATTTGCGTTGCGCGCCACACAGGGGAAGCGTATGGTGCTCGATTGCACCAGCTCATGTTGAGGCCCTGAACGTCAGTGAAACACTTGCTTTATCAACCAGTTGTCGGGTGACCCTCCCGCTGGTGGGTCACCTGTGCGTATTGGCGCGATCGCCTCCGTGAAGCGCGTGCTGAAACATGGTTATCCAGTCCTCCAGTAACTCTTCGTTCTCGCGCTTTGTCGTACCCGTCCTGTTCTTGCTCCTCCTGTTCCTCCCCCCCCCCCCGTCTTTCTCGCTGCCCCCCTCGCTGGCCCCGCTCTTCCTCCCCCCCGCCTCCTCTGGTGCTGCCGCCCACCGACCCCTGGCTGCTGCAGACCTTCCTGGCGCCGCCGTTTCATGAAAGTCGCGCGCGAACCCCGCCGTTGGCGCCCTCGCGCGCGGCTTTCCCCCCTGGCTCGCGGAACTGGCTGCCGCTCCCGCCCCCGCACGCCCCGTGCTTTCGGGGGAGGAGTAGGACCGGGGCGGAGAAGGGGGAGGAGGAGGAAAAGGAGGAGGAGGAGGAGCAGTGCAAACCCAAGACTCATCAACGATGTTGGGATGCACCCTCCCTCCAAATTCCCTCTTCACAGGCCCCTACAAGGTTTTATTTCCACAGGGAATTGCCCAATTCGGGGACAACCGTATGAAAATCCTACAGCGCGCCAAAACACCATTCTCAGGATTTCAACGCCACGACTTGGCGATATTGAAAACCAGAACGTCACTCCTGGAACTCAGCACCGCGAATCAACGCAACTATTGCGCCCTGACAATCTTGAACCGTTACCAAATATCATTTCTGGATTGTTAACCATGAGGACAAGTGAAACTCTTCCAAACTTTAAAGCGAGTGTGTGCGGCGCTGAGGCGGGAGCCACATTTTGAAAAGGAACCGCCCTCAAGCCGTGAAGCTCTGGCATTTTTCCCAACCATCCTGTGGTGTTGGGTCTTCGCTTTAAAGAGAGCGCCCCGCGTTCCTCACTCCTCCTTCCTCCTTCCCCTCCTCCCTCCCTTGCTTCTGCCCTCCGCATGTATCTGTTTCGGCACACCCCTCACACGCTTCGTGGCCCGATTGGGAGTTCCCCCGAAGTCCCCGGTGGCAAAGTTCGCAGGGCGCCCCCGCCCCACTTCGGCGCACCCCTCACACGCTTCGTGGCCCGACTGGGAGTTCCACCGAAGGCCCCAGTGGCAAAGTTCGCATGGCGGCCCCGCCCCACTTCGGCGCACCTTTCGTGGCCTCACAGGGAGCTCTACCGAAGGCCCCACTGGCAACGGTCGCATGGCGGCCCCGCTCCATTTCAGCGCACCCCTCACACGTTGCGTGGCCCCATGGAAGCTCCACCGAAGGTCTCGGTGGCAAAGTTCGCATGCCGGCCCCGCCTCATTTCGGCGCACCCCTCACACGTTGCGTGGCCCTGTAAGGAGCTCCATCGAAAGACTCAGTGGCAAAGTTCGCAGGGCGCCCCCGCTCCACTTCGGCGCATCCCTCACACGTTTCGTGGCCCTGTAGGCTCACCAAAGGCCACAGTGGCAAAGTTCGCATGGCGGCCGCGCCCCACTTCGGCGCACCCGTCACACGTTCCGTGACCCCATATGGAGCTCCACCGAAGGCCGCAGTGGCAAAGCTCGCATGGCGGGCCCGCCCCATTTGGCGCACCACTCACACGTTCCGTGGCTCCATAGGGAGCTCCACCGAAGGCCCAGTGGCAAAGTTCGCATGGCGCCACCGCGCCCGTTTCGGCACACCCCTCACGCTGCGTGGCCCCACAGGGAGCTCCACCGAAGGCCACACTGGCGGGGTTCGCATGGCACCGCCTCGCACAGTTCGGCACACCCCCCACGCGTTTAATGGCCCCACAGGGATCTCCACCGAAGGCGGGTTTCACAACTGCGGTATTCACAATTGCAGATGGTTGGATCTTTCGCCAGGAGACTTTAAAACGAATGCGCGCGGCGCTAACGCGAGAGCCACATTTTGAAAACGACTCGTCCTCAATCCGTGAAGCTCTTGCACATGTTTAAATAATGTGCGCGGCGCTAAGGCGAGAGCCACCATTTGAACACGACCTGTCCTCAAGCCGTGAAACGGTTGCAATCTTGCAGGACGGATGTGCGCAACGCAAAGGCGTGAACCAAATGTTGAACACGACCCGTCATGAAACCGTGAAGCTCTTGCAAATGTTTGAACGAAGTGCGCGGAGTTCAGGCGAGAGCCACATTTTGAAAACGATTCGCCTTCAATATTCGAAGCGTTTGCAAACTTTATAAACGAATGCGCGCGGCGCGAAAACAAGAGCTACATTTGAAACGCACCCCGCCTTTCATTGAAAGCGTTGGCTTCTAAGCTTCAGGATCACCAATAGCGAGCATGTCTCAGGCGGAACGCCCAGCCCGCCCTTGCGATCAGCCTCGGGATGCGGCAGGGAGCAGTCATCTAGAAGCGAATCTAATAGATACGGAGGAGACGAAGGAGGAGGAAGAGGAAGAGGAGGACCGAGGCAGAGGTGGAGGAGAATGAGAGGGGGAGGAGCAGGATGAAGATGAGGATGGGTAGTAGTAGTCGTAGTAGTAGTCGTAGTAGTAGTAGTAGTAGTAGTCGTAGTCGTAGTCGTAGTCGTAGTCGGAGTCGGAGTCGGAGTAGGAGTAGTAGTAGTAGTAGTAGTAGTAGTTGTTGTAGTAGTAGTAGTAGTAGTAGTAGAAGTAGTAGCAGTAGTATCAGCAGTAGTAGCAGTAGTCGTAGTAGTAGTAGTCGTAGTAGTAGTAGTAGCAGTAGTCGTAGTCGTAGTAGTAGTAGTAGTAGTAGTAGTAGTAGACGTAGTCGTAGTAGTAGTAGTCGTAGTCGTAGTAGTAGTGGTCGTCGTAGTAGTAGTAGTAGTAGTAGTAGTAGGAGGAGGAGGAGGAGGAGTAGGAGTAGTAGGAGTAGTAGTAGTAGTAGTGGTAGTATCAGTGGTCGTAGTAGTAGTAGTAGTAGTAGTAGTAGTAGTAGTAGAAGTAGTAGTAGTAGTAGTAGTAGTAGTAGTAGTAGTAGAGTAGTTGTAATATCAGTAGTGGGAGGTAGCACTAGTAGTAGTAGTAGTAGTAGTACTAGTAGTAGTAGTAGTAGTAGTAGTAGTAGTAGTAGTAGTAGTGGGTGTAGTATGTGTTGTAGTACGTAGTAAGTAGTAGTGGTAGTAGTAGTAGTCGTAGTGGTAGTAGTCGTCGTCGTCGTCGTAGTAGTCGTAGTAGTAGTTGTAACAGTAGCAGTAGTAGTAGTATTAGGAATGGTAGTAGTAGTAATACTAGTCGTATGAGCAGTAATAGTAGTAGGCGTAGTAGTGGTAGTATTAGCAGTAGTACTACTACTACTACTACTACTACTACTACTACTAGTAGTAGTAGTAGTAGTAGTAGTAGTAGTGGTTGTAG